GGGCAGTTGTTTTTGTTTGATGTTAACCTACCCCAATTTAGGAGTTGTTTAGTTACCTTTGGAAATTCTGATTTGTCTTTTTTTTTTTTTTGTTATTGTACTTACCTACGTTCACTTTATAAAAGCCATTTACTTTACATCATATCTGGTTTGTGTTACTTTCCTTTGTCCCTAGCACTGGGGTGTAACAGCGGGTAATAATTACACACGGGTGGGTAAAGACTAAACCAGGACTACACCAGGACTAAACCAGGTCTAAACCAGGACTAATCTTGAACTTAAGAGAGCAGAGTGTCTATAAAGTGTGATCGGGCAACGTCTGCACTTACCTCTGTGCGGCGCGGAGCTCTGCCCTGGTCCTTGGTCTGCAGTCACCCGACAGTCTACACGGGCGCACTTTCGTTTGTGCTGTTTTAGTCCTAGTTCAGTCCTGGAATCAGTCCTAGGTAGGTTAGTCCTGGGTTAGTCCTGGGTTAGTCCTGGTTCAGTCCATGCCGTGTGCGGTGCAAATGTTCAACATCAGTGTTTCTTCTGCTCAGTAAATAAAGCCTGTGAAGTTTTGACAGTCAAGTCGCGTCTGTGAATTAATGTTCGTACTGAAGAAAGCAAAACCGTTTCATTTCATTTTGTGATTGTAATTCTTGAAGTCGTAACTTTTCAATTCGTATTCTGATGGATGCTTCACTTAGAAAGCTTTTAATTTGTGTGTGATTTATCACGGGCACGGTCGGGTAAAGGGTGTAGTGTTACCACGTCCGGGCGGGTGCGGGTTTAACTTTGATAAAATCACGGGTTTACGGGCGGGTGCGGTGCTGTATTGGTCTTGTGCGGGCGGGTTCTGGTCTCCAAAAATGGACCCGTGCAGGACTGTGGTGTGCGTGATGTTTGGATGGTGCAGATTGGCAGCCTTCAGTAGTGTCTTACCACTGAGTGTGGATTGAATGAAAAATACATGAAACTGTAAAGCAACTTTGAACGTCTGGAAATCCACTTTATATATTCCTCTTCCCTAATGCAACATTATTTTTAAGTCCTAATTGTTCACGGTAATGAGTTTATAACGACTAATGATCGGTGTTAATCCGTTTATCATTCGTTCATTTGTTTTTCAACATAAAAACAAAAATAAGAAAATGGAAAAACAACTATTTTCTTTATTATTTGTCTCCAAAACCAAAATGGAAAAACAGATAACGATTTGTTTTTTCAGTTTTCGATTTTGTGTTTAAATGAATAATGGAAAAAAACGGATAATGTTTTCCATTTCGGTGACTTAAACTGTGATGCTGGACTTTTGCGCCACTTACGGACTGAACCAGGACTAAATCAGAACTGAACCAGGACTAATAGTCGGGATGGGCCCAGAGGTATGACTGTGTAGACTGTCACATGATCAGAACTGAGACTGGGACCAGACCAGGACTGAGACTGAGACTGAGCCCAGGACCAGACCAGGACCAGACCGGGACAAGACCAGGACTGAGACCAGTTTAGTGCTGGTTTAAACCTGGTTTAATCCTGGTTCAGTCCTGGTTTAGACCTGGTTTAGACCTGTTTTAGTCCTGGTTCAGTCCGTATGCAGCACAAAAGTTCGGCATCACAGTTTAAGTCACAGAAACGGGAAACATGATCACTTTTTTTTCCATTATTCATTTAAACACAAAATCAAAAACAGAAAAAATGAATCGTTATCTGTTTTTTCATTTTGATTTTGGGACAAATAATGAAATTGTTTTTCGTTTTCTTATTTTGGGTTTTATTTTGAAAAAAGAATAAACAAATGATACATGAATTGGTGTTGGTGGTGAATTATCGTCAACCAAAATTTGTATTAGTTGATTAAATTATTTGACTGAGACCATTATTTGGGAATTATTCAAACTGATTCTGCTTTTTTATGCACTAATATGCAGTTAAGTACTTTTTTCATCTTGGATCAGTGACGGTGTAGAAAATTTGTGCTTACATGCCGCGCCCCATTTTTGCTGTCAAGCCTTTTTCATCTCTAATTGATACAAACCTTTCTCACCATTATTGTTTACATGTGTGTATTAGGGCACGGTTCCCTTTCCCATATTGGCACCACAACAAACACTTGAGTACCATTAAAATATTTAAAAACTGGAACTCGATACCAGCTCTTATGTAAGTGTTTTCCAGATCTGTGACAAACAACATTCACTGCCAAATTCTTCCTCTCAGCTCCGGTTCGTGGTTGGTGTAATGCTTTCATGATTGATGTGTCTTGACTTGCAAACATCCCGACCATTTCATCCCCGTGGTGCTCAGTTCGCCACCGACAAGCGGAAAGCAAGTAGAGCTGCGTGATAACAAAAACAGTATTGACTCTGGTATCGGTATTATTGAGATATTGTGAATACTTTTTGACTCATTCATTTCTGTTATAATAAAACAAAACCAAAAATTAAATGCTTTAATTTAGTGAAACTGTGTCCAAATAAAAATGTAAAGGTTCTATATTAGGCAAAATGTATTATTTTGAGCTTTGAGCCATAGTATAACGTCGGTAGCTCATCAAAAACAGACCTGGAGTTGTGTTTTGTTTCATTCACACGTGTTTGAGTAACACTTTATTATATGTCTGTCTACATTTCAAGTTCAAAATGCTCCGTTCCACCTTGTGATGTCATGAAGTGGTCATTTTTTTCAAGTTAAAATCTACTTTTTTTAACCTTTTGTTCAGTAAAGATTGGCAATTCCAGTAGCCTGATTCATCAGACGGTTTCACTTCGTGGAAACCGTCTGACGTCGCAGCATTAGGATTCGTTCGATCGAGTACTTTTTTTATTTAACCAGTCACTGCTGTTTGGTTGTGACGTATGTAATGCAACAATAACAAGGCTAACTGGTATATTAAGCTTTTCACAAATCCCGTAGGAAGAAGGGCAATAACGTCTTTCCCCTTGATAAAATTCAACCATCATTCTCTTTATTCTGGCTTTAAATCCTCGATTTCGGGAATCGTTGCCAACACAGAATGTATGGATCTTTGCTGATTGGCTGGAGCCTGAACTCGCACTTCTGGAGTTCTTATGAACCGTCTAGTGCAGTGGTCACCAACCTGTAGATCGCGATCAACAGCTGGATCTTTGCCATGTCCCCGGTAGATCTCCAGCTTAATTTGACTATTTGTGATACTAAATGTGCATTGAAAGTGAGTGCTTACTTTGGTTTAACTTATCTGCATGAGGTGGCTTTTTCACAAATGAAAATCATCAAATCCAAGCACAGAAACAGTCTGACTGATAGGCACCTCACAGATTGTCTCAGTTTAGCTGTCTGCAACTATAAACCAAACTTCAAAACATTATCCAAGGAAATTCAGACTCAGCCATCACCCTGAATTTGATAATAATGGAACTTCTCTCATTAACCCTTCGATATACTGTTAATGCTGTTCAGTGGTCAAATTTGCACTATTTCGGTTGCTTTCACTGCATTTGGTTTGCATTTTGTTTGTATTGCAGTTGCACTTTGTTTTTTTGTGTTCCTTTTAGTAAGAATGCAAAAATAAAGCTGTCTGGAACTATAAACTATGATCACGTTTGCTGTTATTTACGTTCATGTTGGTAGATCTTGCTCTTTCCTCAGACCAAACATGTAGATCTTTGTCTGAAAAAGGTTGGTGACCACTGGTCTAGTGTATTCCGATTCCTGACTTAGTCACTGGAAAGAAATGAAATTGAGCAGATGCACTGGCTGGCTACAATTCCAGGGCTAAATTCATCCCAATGATTCTAGTGAAGATGTACGGAGTTAAAAACACAATGGAGCACTTCCTGTATTACCACATGACTTCACATGGTGGAACAGAGTGTTTTCCATTTGAGAGAAAACACTCGGCCTAAATATGCAGAGTTTGTGTGTTAAACATGTGTGAATGAAACAAAACACAACTCCAGGTGGTACTTATTTTCTTAACTTATCTAACGTATTACACAAGAGATTCGGTTTTTATTTATCCTGCAAATCACTACTGAGCAACTTCTGAGACTTTTTAGACCAAACCAACCTGTAAAGAGTCCTATTACACCCACTTAAAGGACCAGCCAGGATGTCATCTTAACTTAGACTTAGACAAACTTTATTAATCCACAAGGAAAATTATTTGGACACTGCAGCTCACACATCACAATATAATATAATAATAAAGCGTAATAATAAATTCTAAATAAATAAGTACCAAAAATGAGCAAGAGACTCATGTCAAATAAGACATAATTATATAAACGGATATGTACAAATCAAAATAAAATAGAAAAATAAGATAAAATACAAAATCCATTAACCAATATTGTGGAAACGATACTCGATACAGCCAATTTTTCAGTATCTGTCCTGATATTCGATACCAGTATTGATATCAGTACATCCCTAACTATAACATAGATCAGAGAACAGTGTGATATTAAACAGAGCCAAAACCAGGACTAAAATGTGTCAAAATATTTTAATTAATAACAAAAATGATGAATAAAATCAGCTTGATGTAACAGCTTTTACAAAACAGTGCATTCTGGTCAGATGGAGAACCTTGGAGTAAGTTAACGATTTATTGTAGGGATGTAACAATAACAAAAATATCGTGATATCGTATCGTCAAAGTTCTCACAATAATATCGTGGGCCGTCATAAGATATCGAATTACAAGTCTCTTTGCTTAAATTATGAGTTAAAAGACAGAGCGAACTACATAGACCATGATCCTTTGCTCCATTTCAGTGCAGACTACAAGAAGAAATAACAGTTCTAACACTTTTAAGTCTTAGTTCTTTAGATTAAGTCTTGTCAAGGCATTTTAAGAGGAAAAAGTAGCATATGAACAGTTTTGTTGCCTCCACAAAATATCGTACCGAGAGATTTGGATATTGTTACATCCCTAATTTATTGCATTGGTAAATATCGCAGTATCTATACTTTTGCAGCACTAAAGTTACATTTGGAGTGTGGAGAAGTCAACATTGTTATTTCGTTCACAGGGGAGATGAGCCTGAGGTAGCAGAGTCTGAGGATGTGTGACTCAGAGGAGGACATGTACCAGGAGCAGAGGAGCGCAGACGTCCTTCAGATCAGTGATGAAGAACACCACAGTGATGAGGAGCAATACAGCGACGAAGAGGAGGCATATTGTGAGTCTCTTCTGGGCATTTTACACACATGTGGTTCTATAGGTGGGACGAAACACAAATACCATGAGATTTGGTCTAAACCAGGGGTATTCACGCTTTTTCATCATGTGAGCTACTTACAAAATGACCAAGTCAAAATGATCTACTTAATACAAAGCCAAGCAAACTGCACTGAAACACTCTGTGCCCCTTTTTTGGACCCTCACCCACAGTTTGAGAACCCCTTCTTTAAGAGAACTTCCTCTGGCACTTTACACAAAACTGTGAAAAAAGTGAAGGAAGTAGGTAAGATTTTTTAAAGCTGTTTTTTAAAGTTCCAAACTGGAGTTTCATTCTTTTCTGGTTTTGCAGTGATATTTACCAGCCTCTGCACGTTTACCAAACCAAACGCACATCGTGACAAACACAGATGCATTTGTGCTTTTGTTAGACAAACTTCAGCCAAATGTGGCAGTAGGTCTGTTCTGTAGATCCGCTCTATGCTGTAGACCTGCTTTGTGCCAACACTGTAAAACAAATTTAGACTGGTTTTTGCTTCACGTTTGGTCTTGCTCTTCTAATCAGCCGCACTGTGGGAGGGGCTTGTGTTCGCTGTACGCAGGAAGGAGCGAGAGCGTGAAAAGGCGAGGGGCGGCGTGCTGACGTGAGGCAGATGGACAGGTAGGATGTTTAGGAAGTTGAACCTGCCCTGTGATGCACGCTGGTACACGAGGACACACGCTGTCGCAGACGAGCCGTGCATAGGGAGCGTGTGTGTTTGTGATGTGCCGTAGAGTCTCCGCGGGTTTCAAATGAGCGCACAGGCTGCACTGAGACGCCCCACACGCTCCTGCACCCGCTACAAGTTTATTACCAACAGCAGCGGCCGTAATGAAATATGATCGCACTTGTTGAGTGTCAGACCTCGAGTGAGAGACAAGACCGAGTCCAAACGCGATCGAGTCCGAGACGAGACACGGCGATCTACCCACACGACCTTGGCGATCGACTGGTAGATCGCGATCGACGTATTGAGCACCCCTGGTGTAGAAGAACAGGAAAAGATGAGATTTTGACATATAATAAAACGATTGCGTGGTTCTTTTCATAATATTCATGAATTTATTTTAATGCACTTCTTTTAATAGTTTCTCAAAAAGTCTAATCTGTCAAGCACTCAACCCTTTTTTTCTCCAAGCTAAATATAATCATAATTGCCTCGACGCAGAATATACACTTCTCTAGTACTTTACGTAAATGTGAGTCACCGTTGTGTCTCGCAGAGTTCATGTAATCAGGAACATGCATCATCCGTCTGTATCTAAACGAACATGGCTGCAATATGAGTATGAGTTAAACAGAAGTAAAAAAGTGTTTGGGGAAACCTGTACTCATTTGTGTTTTTTGGCTCTTCCGGCACCTACTTTTTTATCTAGTGTGTTTTTTTATTGTTAAGTTATAACAAAAATAAATAAAATAAATAAATCTGTACTTGTAAAAAGTTTACTTGTAGCAGCAGCAGTCTGGATGAACCATATGAGTTATAATTCAAAATGAAAGGCCCTATATTTCACAAGATTAACTCTCATGAGCTTTCTCACACATTCTAATGCCGTTACCAGAGTTACTCACACACGTCGTTTCTAAGTTAACAGTTCATTTTACTTTTAGGTCAGTAGAGATTAGCAATTCCAGGGCTGAAATGATCTGAAATGAAATGGCTGAAATGAAAAGAGCCTAAATATGCAGGATTTGTGTTTTAAACATGTGTGAATGAAACAACACAACTGCAGGTATGTTTGTGATGAGGAAAAATATAGATAAGAAAATTGCCAAAATGGGCCTTTTAATTTAGCCTGATTCATCGGACGGTTTCACTTCGTGGAAACCGTCTGACCTCGCAGCATTAGGATTTGTTCGTTCGACGGTAGACGGGTACTTTTTTTATTTAACCAATCGCTGCTGTTTGGTCGTGATGTTTGTAATGCGGCAAATCCCATAGGAAGAAGAGCAATAACGTCTTTCCCCGTGATAAAACAAACATTCTCTTTGTTCCTGCTTTAAATCCTTGATCTTGGGAATTGTTGCCAACAAAGAATGTCTGTCTTCGTCTACATCCATCTCGACCGCTTTGTTTACTGTTGAGTTGTTCCACAGAAGGGACCCAGACAGACGCTTGAGTTTGACGTCATGGCTTCACAGCTCTTCACTGATTGGCCAGTGCGCGGTCTACACTGAAAAAAAAAAAGTTGCTGGATTTGCGTAAAAAAGTTATGGACAGCGGTTGCACGCAATAAAATTATGTTTAGGCTTTGAAACTTTTTTCGATCCCCTCTACACATATTTTTCTCGGAACATGAACATCACTTTTTCATGTTGATGAAATTTGAACAAATCATGCTGAATATGCATATTTATCTTATGGTACCTTATCATGAAATGTATAAGTATGTATAATGTAATTTAATTGATCTAATTCTGTAAAATAATACAAAAACAGTCTTTAGTTTTCCACAGATCTGTATTGTCTTAAACAGAATCAAACACACCAGAGACACACAGGGACAGAGATACACAGTTTGGAGCTGGACAGTGTGAAGATTTATTCCAGTGTGTCTCTGCTCCTGTAACTCTCCTGTGTCCTGCTACATTTGAATTTTCCCTCCAAAAGTTTTGGGGAGGAGAATTCCAGAGGGAGGAGCCTCACCACAGATGATAATAAAGTCATGTTTCCTCAACCTGATTAAAACATGCAGGTCTTACATCGGCCACAATCAAGCGATGTTTGTAAGATTTAAACATGCTTGACAGAGAAATGTAAAAAAGTGATGTTATTGTTGTCAAATTTGTTTTTGCAATTTGAGCAACCCCTCTCGGACCATTTTTTCAGTGTACAACTTCCGGTGTTTTTGCGGTCTAGTGTATTCCCATTCCTGACCTAGTTGCTGGAGAGAAATTAAATTGAGCGGAGGCACTAGGTGGTGCAAGCCTGGCTTCCTTTTAATGTAGGAAGGATAAAAAATGATGCAGTGCACAAAAATGGTATTTTCAAAGGACAGATCAAATTGGGGCGGCAGTGGCTCAGTTGGTTGAGCGTTTGTCCACTGATCTGAAGGTTGGCGGTACAAATCCCACTCTTGACATAAACCATCATTGGTGAGCGGTCAGATCCACTGGCCCACAGGTTGGATGGTGTGATTCCAGCTCCCACAGATGAATGCTGCTGTTGTGTCCTTGGGCAAGACAGTTAACCCACCTTGCCCACAGTGTCTGCGTACACTGGTGTGTGAATGGATGAGTGGTTCCTTGTTGTAAAGTGCTTTGAGTGCCTTGAAGGTGGAAAAGCACCATTACCATTACCATTTTTACCATTAAAAAAAAAATAATAATAATAATCACATCTGAAGGAGCAAAAAATATACATATAATATCAAACTTTAGTCACTTGTTGACTCATTCACAGTGGGAAGAGTCACCAAAACTTTGACTGAGTCCTGTTACACTGTAAACCAGGACTCAGTGTCAAACTCAAAATTAAAAACTGGGACTAAGTCATCGGCCAAACCAAATATTTATTGAAACATTTCAACAACATCTGCCTGCTTTCTTTCGAGATAAGAAAAAGTTTAACGTCACATATTAAAATAAATGTTTAATAATAGTTTTGCTTAAACATCGAACCCAGAACAAGCATAAGATAAAATAATAACTAAATTTTAAATAAATAATGTCTTTATAGTCGAGGGCAGCTCTAATATATATTTGATTTGTCTGCTATAAACTATATTAAAGATGCACTGTGCAACTTTTCAGGTAGAGGGTCCCCATCTTTCTGTCTCCATGGAGATGTTACTGCTTTGGAATGTTCCACAGTATTCCATAAAACATATCTATCTTATATTAAAGGTTGTATAGAGGATTTTTTTAAGGAAAGAAAAATCCAGCGACGGTCCTTGACACCACCTTCCTCCTCCACAGCTCCCTCTAGAAATAATTTTGAGACCGACACCTCAGTTTTTAGACCCTTTGTCTGCTTCAGTCGTGCAATCACTGAAAGGAATCTCCAAGAATCACCTCAGTTCGTCTTCGCTCGTTTTCTCCTTCTCTTCTTCTTTCAGCGACATCAAAAACCGACTTTGTTTTGCGGCGAACTGGTCGTGGATTCTCGTCCGACATTGCAACAAACTTTATGCGAACTGCGAGAGCCACAATTAGAAAAAGCCTCTAAGAACTGCTGCATAGTTACCTTAGAAACGTAGGGAGATTGATTGACAACCTAACAGCCAATAGAAAATGAGGGAGCCTCATTTTCTATTGGCTGATGTTTATCTGGCCTCAACACGTCCACATTTGATAGATTTTCTTTCTTTGTTTTTTGGTCATCATAATTACAAAGCTGCTGCGTCTCTGTAATGGTATTTTAAACTTTCATTGACAATTTGAAACAAACAAAAAATCCTCCATACAACCTTTAAGTAAATTACAGGTGTTTTTATTGCTCAGAAACACCTTAAAAACATGAATTCTCACTGTCAGCGTAGTCGCCTCTCCACAGATCTGACCTGTAACCTGGCCTTGTAGCGTTACTTTTTCGTTTCTTTGGCAGTGGACGCGTTTAATGCCGTGCTGTTGGTAATTCCGGGCAAAGCAAAGACATCTCCATGGAAACAAGCAGCTGGCGGAAAAGCGGAAAAGTTACGCAATGCACTTTTAAGTTGACGTTAGAAGTGTTTTAGTATTTTTAAAGTAGCTGTAAAAAGTCTGGTGTTTTATTGAAATAACTTGGCTCTAACATAAAAATTGGGGATAAAGATTGGTTAAACATGTGGCGGCATCACCACACCACCACCTGCTCTCGAACATGGAGGGAGTTTGCCTGGAAGAACCTGATTCGATTCTTTATTAAATTAAAGAGTAAGCAGTTAAGGATACATCAAATGTGTTGGCGGAAATGTGGAGAGATTAATGTAGACCATTCTCATATATTTTGGAATTGTGCAAATATTACTGAATTTTGGGAG